CGACATGACATTTACATAATCATGTTTGCTAAATTTATTTATTAAAATAATTTTTTTATTTAATCAAACAACCATAGAAATAAACACACATACACTTTAAATTGATTGAACCGATTAAAAGGGAAAAAAAATACTATGTAAGGCTTTATATATTAAAAATATTATTTGAAAGTAATTTTTTTATTTTAAAAAATAAAATTCATTTATATAAAAGATAAAAAAAAAACATAGTTGAACAAAAAACCTCTTAAAAAATTAAATGCATAGCTAAAAAAAATTCTTATTTCAAAAAGGATTTTTAAATACAATAAAAAATAAAAGGGATATTAATCTAAATATAAATAAAAAATATTTAAAAAAACATTAATTTGTAAAAGAAAAGAAAAGAAAAGGCAAATTGTTGTTGGAATTGGGCCATGTTAATAGGCCTCCACACGGGCTTGGCCCATGTCTTTAAGCCCTAGTCCTGCCTGACAGGTCTTTAGGTTTTTTTTGTTACATCATGTCACTACTCTCAAATTTGTAAAACAGTTATACACGCTGGTTTTTTATGCATTTTTTGTATATAAAAAAAATTCGATTGCAAATTAAAATATTTATTCATACATGTAATTAAATAAATTAAGAAGTATACATGATAATAAACTAGAAAATAAGATATTGACGACAACTAGAAGTAAAATAGAAAAATCAAATGTGTTAATAAATGAAACATTTACCTAATTGTGTTTATTGAATTTATTTATTAAAAATATTTTTTATTCAATTAAATGATATTAAAAATAGATATAGATATTAAATTGATTAAATAAAATAAAAATAAACTAAATTTTAACAAACTAAATTAACTTTTTATTCAATTAAATGCACTCAATGTTTAATAGTCTCTTTTTATTCAATAGTCTCAATTAAATGCATTAAATTAAATTTTTATTCAATTAAATGATATTAAAAATAGACACATATATTAAATTAATTAAATAAATTAAAAATAAATTAAATTTTAACAAACTAAATTAACTTTTTATTCAATTAAATGCACTAAATGTTCAATAGTCTCTTTCTCTTAAATTTATATTTAACCTTATAAAAAGAGGGCAAAAAAGACTCAAACTTGCGGACCTATGACCCAGCATGCTTGGGTTACTAAAATGAAGAGCCCAGCAATGCTCGTGGGCTTGGGGTGATTTTTTTTTTTTAAAGAATGGATAACATATTACTTGTCTTTATTTTTTTAAAGAAAAATAAACAACTAACACATTACTCATCAAGGCAACGATCTGCCGTCTATAAGCTCAAATTCCAAGCACGAATTTGGCGGCTGAAAGATCAAGTTGGCTTGTTTTTTGCCTTAAAAACCCAATTTTTTATTTACTTCAACCAAAAAACACCTAGACAACACCCTTATAATACCCATAAGTTATTTCATTAACTCCAAATACCAAAAAAATGATCCAAAAACTTAAAATCAAATAGGTTTAGTTTTGACTTTCTTGGCTTAGATCTGATTTTTCATATAACATCGAGTCTCTAAATAACCACAGTGAAATTCCTCTTATCATATAAAACTTTTGGACATGAAAAAAACCTATTTTGGTTGCCGGAAATGAAGTTAATGGCAAGCTTTTCTTTCCTTGCTGAAATACAACAACTCTTTCTCTTTTTAATTTTTCCAATTAGAAATTAAAAAATAACACAAATAAATTTTTGTGTGAAAATTGATTTTTTAAAAAATTAAAAGAACTTAAATTATATATATCATGTTATTTTTAAAAATTGAGTACCCATGTGGAGTTTTCATATCATCTTTGACATGCCACCTGTATTAGGTGCTTGTTTTAGTTTGGTTCATCTTCTTGTAATTTTATTATTAACTAAGCATTCCGAAGCAATGAATTAACCTTTAATTATAATTAAACCACACATGCAAAATAAAACTTTGAGATATTCAATGTTATCCAGTGTTTTGTGAGGGAATAACTTTAGTGCACAGTATTTACCCCTATATATTTTAATTTATAAATAATAATAATATTTTTTACAACAAGAATTTGTGAATGCACCTCGGTGGTTAAAACTTTGTGTCCCATATCATCGGCTGGGGCTTTCCAGCTCTTCAGTACTTTCAACAACTGCCACTACAACATCTCGCCGGCCCATAGCCCTCTTCAACGAAACGTTTTATATTATGAGCACATTTAATTTTATATTTTATTAACGTTGTAAAAAATAATTTGATGCTGGAATGATAGATTGTGCCTCTAGTCAGTGGCTGAACAGTTCACCTGATAGCAGAAAAACAACTTAGTGCCTCAAATAATTTGATTATGTTGATTAACGTTGTACTCAGTTATTTGTTATATTATATTTGGGATCTCCCCTCCTTTCTAACTCAGATCTGTTTAGCCACTAAATAAATAATTGGTTTATTTATTAAGAATAATTTCTATGAATTATTGAATTTTAAAATCTATCATTATAGAATTTCTCTTTACCATTTCAAACTGTAACCTTAAAACTTCATAAACTCTACAATTTTTCTTTTCCCGTGATACATCACGTTATTTTTAGTTTCAGAAGATCATTGCTAGATGAACACATTGTCATCAGAATGTTGCTCTTATATATTCCCTCTCTCCCTTTTTTTTTCCTGGCAGGTAGACCTGGAGATGTTTCCTCAATTATTGGCGTTTGTGACGAGAGGTGAACAATCCAGTCCTTTTATTGGATTTTTCTCTCTTCATAATGGTACTTTGCTGTCAATAAGATTGCTCCATATCTATGAAGTCTGTCTTTGAAGCACGGAGACATTTATGAAGGTCCCAGCTAAGGAAACAAACAGAGGATGATGAATTATGGTTGCGGTGGGTCTAATGAAATATATATAAGGGTTGAGGTAGACTACTTTTACTGGGAGTTTAACTTTTGAATCACATGAGATCTTCTTCCTCCTTGCCATTGCTTATTGGCAAATGGAGAATTGATGACCACGAGTCACCAAAAGGCCCATTATACAAACACAAAATGTATGATGATTACATTGAAGAATTCGGATCGTGGGGAGGTAGGAAATTGCTGTCTCGATCATCTTGAGTCATGCACGTGTCGATGAGAGTATAATGTTTGTATCCCTTTCTTATCTGTTTCACAACCCGTCACATCCTTGTCTGGTTTTCTTCGCAAGTTGGCTGAGATTAGCAGACATTTGAAATTATTAAAGATCTTGCTGTAAACATATATAGCAAGTGAATCTCATCTTTGAGAAGAACCATCTTATTATAAGTTCTTGAAGAGAACATAAAATTAGTGGAATAGTTAGCTGAAAAGAAACTTTGGATAGGAGGCAGGCAATGGATAAGTTTGGCCATCCCACTCGAGGTAAAACTGTTGTGTTGGAATTTAGGCATCTACTTAGTAGCTTGTTTGGCACAAAAGAACTCTTTCGATATCAGAGTTTGCTGAATTGCATAGGAATTAACAACACAATGTCTTGCGCAAAATTGTGATAGTCTGGTTAGTTTATCTATATTTTCAATCTGCAACAAAATGCAGTCATCTTATTCTTAAAGGACTTAACTTATAAAACTCGGCAGGGCTTAGCTCAATTTGAAACAGGATAAAGGCCAATTTTCAAATTAAGCTGAACAAAATATTGATTCTGTAAAACTCAGTAAACCGATTAAATATTTAGTAACCCTGTTCATCTAATCAAACTCGGCTGAGATCTTCATCAAATTTTTTTAAATAAAATAAAATAAAATAATGATATTTAAATAAAAATAATTAATCCGTGACTTAATAATTCATTCTCTTTTCCAAGTCATCCTCAAATCAAATTGCACAACAATGCTTTACCCATGCCTTTTAAATTAATAATTGCTGCCTAGTCACCGTTACAGTTCCAGGATCCAAACATCTGCACATGGTGATTGTCATCTATGATTGACTACTTTCTGGTAACGTGTGTCGGTGCTTTTCCACATCCATGATTCCAATACTAAGGACGATATTTGCATGCCTCCTTGTGTATATATTATATGTATGATTTTACATATCTTTGTCATGAAAAAAGTGGAGTTCACCGTGTTGCTTATGGTTTGCTAACAATGTTGCTCTCACTTATCTACCATTATCAGTCGATTCATTTTCTCGCCAGTGATAAAAGTTATGCACAGTACTTATATCAAAGTCATGAATCTTGGCCAAGGATGCATGCCGGAATTTGCAAAGTTTTGGTCATTTATGCTGTTGACAGTCAGGGTTAGCTATCTTGCCATGGATTGGCAGCATCTCGAGGCATGCAGTGCGGACAAGGCGAGCTTTATGGACCCAAAGAGCCTCACTGAATGAGAGGTTGTGGGATATGACATATCCACCATTATCGACGGAGGAATTAGAGAAATATCTAAGTTGGTGCACCATCAGGGAACTGGACCCTTCATCCAATCCTTGCACGGTAAGTCATTTGTCAATTATCACTAAAAGTAGAAAACTATCATCCCAATGTTGAGCTAACAGTTAGGTTAATTTGTAAAATCCCCAGTTCAAAACTTGATTTAGAATGGGTTTGAAGCTAAATTAAAAAAGATATGGTTCTTAGAGTGGTAGATATTGGGAACTTGGGATTTGCATACAGGAGTAACATTGATGTTAAACTGTCCAAATTCAACTTGAATGCAAGAGCATGTCTGCTGTAGAGTTAATTAAGATGGTGCCATAAGCCGTAAATGCAGTTGAAATCTGCCTCTAAATTCACTGAGCTCAACTTTCCAACTGTCTATTAAATTGCTTTAATTCCTAATCTCAAATTCACCTAACAAGATTTCAAAGTTTCGGCAGTACTGCACATCTTATGCAGGTCTGGAGCTATTTTGGTCTAGAAATCTGGCTATTCCACTTTCCTTTACTGAAACTGTAATGCCCCCTTCTCCCCTTTTCACTCTTTCTCCCCATCTCTCCGGTGAAACTAGGACTATATAAGTTCTAGAAGTACTAAGAAATCATAGAAGTAACTCCGTAAATTCATCATCAAAGAGATAGAAATGGGCTTCATCTGCGCTTACTTGTGTAGTTACATTATCAAGTACACAGAGAAATCATACACCAACATATGCAGACTCATCATTACAAAGGATGATATACGTACGTAGAATTGAACATAGCTGCACTTAGGTAGGGGTAAAGTTACATTTTCAGAGAGAAGAAACTTGGGAACCATTCTTGTAGCTTTTTAACGCGATTGCCATTTTGAGAAGAATACTATAGCTAGTTTATATATATTATGTAGGAATCCAGACCTAAGTTGGACGAAGAAAAACATGGCACTTCAATTTCTAAAATTGAAGTGTCACGGCTTGTGATGCTGGGTGTAGATGTAGTCCAAGTGAGCCTCTGCAATTATCCTTCTCGTTAAGCACTCCTCGTCTCCGCCATCACATAGCTCTAACCCCGTCAGCTGCTGAAAAAATTAACAAAAACAAGAAAAACTTGTATAAGCTGCTGAAAATTTATTACCAAATTGTTAAAGTAGAGAGAAAAAAAGTAGATGCTTACATTCATTAACTCACTGTCCTCCGTCCCTTCACTGGTGATTCCATCTAGGTTTACCTCCTCTTGCCCTGCAAAACAAGCAAAACTTCAGTTTCTGAAAATAATAACTCTTATCAGTTCTCAACAAAGAAGTGGTGGTAGAGGAGGAGGAGGAGGAGAAGAAGAACTATACCTTGTTTGCTTAATAGGAAACGAGCAGATAACTTTGAGGAATAGACAAGGACAAGAAGGATGAGCAGAATAGCTTTGTAATTCAGGCTTGGCTTCATGGTTTTAGCCTTTTAGGTTCTGTTCCCAACACACAAGCAGAGAGTTCAAACTTTAAAGAGATGGGATTTGGGGGTTGGGTGATAGAAGAGGAGGATATATATAAATACATATATATATAAATACATGCAGAGGAAGCAACAGCGCTGTAAGAAGAGAGAGTTACATGAAGAAAATCCCTAAAGAAGACCGTTGCATTACGTCATCACCTTGTGGGACCAACCTCGCATAATAAACTGCACTCCGTGCTTGTGTGCTAACACCATTATTGGGATTAAATAGAAGAAAAGCTTTGGTCACTGTCTGCCATAGGCATCGGGGCCCTGCCAAAGCCCTAAAGACTCCAAGAATCAATGTAATTTGTGGTTGACAGTCTCCAAAAGTCAACCTTAGGACATGAATACAGCTGTTGCCCATCATCACAAGTTTTGCCTTTCACAAGCCAATGGCACGTAGCAGGGTTTTCTTTTCTTGGTCTTTAACCATGAATAAATATCGTGTAAAAGCAAAGTAAAAGCATTTCCATGCATGCTTTAAACCCATTACTGAAATTGCTCCCACATGTAGAGCAACTAGAATAATGGCAACGCCACCTATGGCTTCAGTGGCAGATTCCTCCTTTTCTATTACCATTGACTCCTATGGATTTGTACCAAACTCTTTTTTCATGTGCAAGATTGTTTTGGACTAAATTTTGAGCTTATCTATGCGCTCCCATCTCTTTGGTGCGAGGCATGAAAGATTTTGATTTTGAAATTTTCTATTTTTTTTTATATAGACCTTAATAATTGATCAACTCTCAACTGTCTCTCAAAACTAGACACCAATTAAATTTTTACATTAAACCAAATACTAACAAATTTAATTAAGTATTTCCACATCTAGATTTGATTATGAATTCCATTTAAAAAAAAATTAATATAAAAAAACACAAGGTTTTGAGCTATGAAATTCTAACAAAAGAACTCAATTAAGAAAACTGAATCGTTTGAGAATGAAATTGATAATAAGATATTATTTGAGGATAAAATTGATACTTTCATTGCCGGGTATAATTGATATTGACCATTTTAAAAACAATAAAATCATTACAGGGATACCTTCTATTAGTGGTCCATTGACAATTACATGGATGGCATCCATGCATCTTAAAGTAATATTTTTATTTATCATGGTGGAATGCCACTGTATTTTTTGGTTTTGCCAATACTGATTTGCTTAGTGACGAGTATTTTAAAACTTATTATGGATATGCTTCTCTTTTTGAAGATTTGAATCTTTCATTTGTTCCCAAAAGAGTAAGAAAATTCTACAAGGAACAATGTGTTGGGTTTGCCAAAGCAATATGTGAAGGCTTAAATTTACTGAAACATGTAATTCTCTTGAGAATTGAGCTGGGGTATTGAAGGTTTGTGTCTGCTAGTCTCAGACAACTCTGAATAGAAAAATCTGATGTGGCGTGAGAAGCCTTAATTTAGACTAGTTTCATGTAATATTAGTAGTAGAATATCTATGTGATATATAGTGGCATTGGATAATGCTACTGTGTTCTTTTTATATATATATTTAAATTATCTGTCAACGATGTGCATGTTCAATTTATTTAGATCTGCGCTTTCTTTCTTTTTTTAAAAAAAAAAAATTGAGAGATAAGCGATAATACTTTGGCAAATCTTCCTTTTCCCTGAAAGTGGCAGTTCATATGCCCCTCCCGTGTCAATGGTTGCATTAACAATATCATGCTGTTTGAAAAGAATTAAAAAAGCTATTTTATCCAAGGTTATTAAACCCTCCTTGGATTAGGTATGGGATAGGCTAGACTAAATTACTTTAGATGAATTAAAACAATGTATTTAAAAAAAAATACTAAAATAAACTTAAATTTTGACAAAATTGATCGAGATATGAATTTATTTATCTTTCATTTATTTTTTAATCTAGGGTTTTGTATCATGCAGGTTTTATATTTACCTGCCAAGCCGGGTATAAAAGCCTGATTCTATCATTATATTAACATTAGTTTATAATTTTTTTTTTATAAACAATAAGATGTAATTACATTTTCATGAACCCAACAGAAAAGAAAAGAAAAACAGCACGAAGAATCTTCTAATTTCATTAACAAATGCACATTAAACTGATTAAATAATCTTCAGGGATGAAATGTCATGAGAAACAGTCTCTGATTGCAGACACTAGAACATCTGGTTGTCAATTTTGTGGGAATTCCATGATTAAATTATTTTCTCATTTCTTTTTGATGATGAAAAAATCATGTCCCCGTTGTTTGGTGCTATTCAGATGGATTGTGTACAAACACACATTCAATTCAACATAATTATTAGTTAAAATAGGATCGATAAACCTGGTTTATGGTCTACAGTAAGAAGAAAATGAGGATTTTTGTACATCATGGAAGGTGGGTTTTAGACTGAAGTCTTATAGATTCTAACCTCAACCCTCGAAGAACGACCCACCATTACAAGATGGGAGGCTGCTTGCTTGCTTTTTCTGCCTTTTCTTTTTGATAAATAATTGCATGTTTGGGTGGCGGGTTTTCAATGCAGCGTCAACATCTCATGAAAAAGCAAGGCACATATGATTGGCATTTTAAAAAGGGAAATTAAATTTGTGCTCATCTCTCTCGGTTCCAATCAATCAGCCAAACCTCTCTTATCAACACATTTATTAAAATCATGCCGGCTTCATAGATAAACAAGTGGTATCTATAAAATTTATATATTTAGCTTTATAAAACATCAAATTTATATTTTTTTTTAGTATTTTATAGTTATTTTAATATATTCATATTAAAAATATATTCTAATATATATTAACAAAAAAACACATCATTAACGGGCGAACGGGTTTGATAACTTTGCACATAAAATAAAAAAAGAAAGGAGCACCATACAGTTCATCGGGAATAGCAAAAATAAAGTTATTTGTTCTTGCATCCATTTTGGCTGTTTGCACTTTGCACTGCAAAGGGCCCCAAGTCTTTCTTGACTTGCAGTCCGCAGTTCATCTATTACCATGTAAAAAGCCATCAAGATTCTTCTAACGATGCGGTTTATCCTTACACTTTGGAGCTGGGGTGAACTGGGCTTTTAATTAAATTTTGATTTTTTTAAATTATTTTTATATCAAATAATTTTTTTAAAATATATATTATTTAATATATTTTTAAATAAAAAATATTTTTTTAAAAAAACATGCATATTCAGTTTTGACTGAATAGTTATACCATCTGAACAGATTTCATGGGCCGTGTTAATTCAATCGGACCTTTCCCTTTAATCAAAATGAAGGGTTTCGGTTACCTGTTTAGCAGGTTGCAGCTTGCAGGCCAGCATCTCCTTTAACCAAGAGTATCGTCTTTATCCCTTGTTTTTTTTTTTTTTAAATATGTGCCGACGGTAATTCCTTTTCTTTATTAAATTCAAAGAAAGGTCTCGATATAATTAAACTTGCAGGCTAAAAAAACATAGTTATCCTCCTACTTGACTAGAAATTTAATCTTAATTAAAATTTAAATTATTAGATCATTGTTGTCTTATAAATTTATCATGATTATTTAAATCAATTATTTTTTTTAACTTGATTAAACTATTCGAGCCACGAGTTAATTTACTTTATCATTTAAATTTAATTAAATTTATTTAAATTAAAAAATTAATATAAATCAAGTTTAAAATCTTGAGAAAAGGTTGTCATCTCAGTAATTAAGAGAAAAATGGATCCAATTATTTAGGTAATGATTAAGTGATAAGAATTTAGTATAAAAGAATTTAGGATTATATAATGGTTATTGGAGAATTATATAATTGTTAACTTCAGGGCTTATGAGATTAATTGTGATGTGTGGAAACTAGCTCAGAAACCTATATTAATCTTAAAAAAAAATATGTACCCATCTTAATTCATGAAATCGGCGTTAAATGATACCAAGAGCATGATTCAAACCCTAAATCTGCCTTGTTCCTCGCTTAAAATGAAGGGGTTGGAAGTATTAGTATCAACAGCTTGTTACGAAATGGGTAAAAGAGAACACATGGGGGAAATCAAGGAAAAAACGGATAGATTAAACTTGGTACTGAGTGATCAGCAGCTCTTTCATCAAAAAGAGCATGCAAAGGCCTTCCTTTTCTCCATTTACGTACTTTTCCCTTTGCTTTATACCTTTGTCAGAACCACCCGATGCTACAGGGAACAAGCCCAATGCAATCCAAGTGCTTTATTAGCATATAATGGCCTGTTGAATACATATACGCCTTCTGGTTTTCTCCTAAAATATGAAGATCTTTCTCTTTCGCTCTACGTTCTGTGCACTTGTGACTTCTCCAATAAACACGCAACCTCCTTTTGCTTCTACTCGTGAAAGCTAAGAAGGTAAATGGGAGATTTGGATATTCAACCAGACAAAAAAAATCACCATGACCATGGTATAGGATAGTACAAGAACGAAACATGCTTAGAATGTATCATTTATCAAGCCTAAAGTTCCATCACCTGCATGTTGATTTCCTCGAATAAATTATGTTACATGTTTTACGTCAAAATTGCAGTTCTGTCACGCATAGTGGCCTGGTCTCATCATTGAATGTGCTGCTAGTGACCCCAGCCATTAATAAAAGTCCTCGTCTTGTCGTTGCCTGTGTATGTTAATCTTGCTGTTAATTTGTAGACAATTGCGTTGTCAAATCCAACAAGGGGTGCCCTGAAAAATGATAGCTTTAGTCGGCAATGTCAAATCCCATCGTCATCAGCATCATCATCATGTAAATATTCGTAAATCCAAAGGTTTTGAATCTTCTTTTATTAAGTAAAATCAAGCAAAATCCCTCAATATATGATTCCTGTGCAAAGATGTTCCTCAATTAAGAGCTAGTCTTTTTTATTTTATTAAGTAATGGTTGATTTTTAAAGTATTTTTATTTAAAAATATATTATTTTTTTATTAAAAAAATCACTATTAAAAAATAAACAAAATGACAAAGATAGAGATATTTATCTGCAGCAGATTTGTTGGGCCTGTCATAATCGTTGTTTACAGATTATCATCCATATCTACCACTTTCAAATCAGCAAATCAAATCAAGACGAACCTGTAGTGAAAAAATACATTGA